CATTACTGTGGGAGAGAGGAGCTCCCTCTGCTGTGGACTATGGGATATTGAACTATGTACACTGTTTACATACAGAAAAAACATATGCAACCCACTAGAAGCGCCATGACGGATGTGAAAATGCAATAAAATCATGAAATGAGGCATTTAAAATTTTAAAGGTTTCAAGTTAATGAGAGAAATACAAATACACCAGTAGGTGGCGGTAATGCGTGATAACGATGACAGAAGAAGAAGAAGAAGAAGAAGAAGAAGAAGAGGAAGAAGAAGAAGAAAAAGAACCAGAAGAAAAAGAACCCGCGCAAATCAGGTACCGGTAAGAAGTGCGAACATGTTTTTGTTTACTGTGAGTAAGGTCTGCAGTAAAGAACTGTAGAAAAATAAGTAACCATTGGCTCTCTGCAATGTCCCTAATAGTCGCTAGATTGTGCAATGACGTCACACAACACGTAGTTACACATTGCGTACGCAGTTTAATTGTCATTCCAAATACTGATCGGTTGCAGATTCGTCATTTTCACAAAGCGCCTGTGTGTGCGGTGACATACTGAAGGTCTCGTTCAAACCAAAACACACCACGAGTTAAAATAATACGACTGTCCGTGTCAACATCACGTTTAGATAACAATATAAATCATATGGGTAAAAAAATAAATATAGTACAGAAATTTGGAACGGGGTTCGAAACGATAAGCCGAAGCTAACTGATGACTATCGTTGATGGTAGGCACAGGGAGTTATGAAGAATACACACGCGTGGCCAGCTCCACTCAAAGTGCTTTGCTCGTGCAGTGATTTTGTGATTCAAGTTGGTGAACGTTAAAGTTGGACATGTTAAGCTTCACGTGTCCTTCCTCGCTCATTAAAGCCCGCAGACGTGATTTTAAAAGATGTGCTCTATGTCCTCGATAATGAGGTTCAGTTCTTGGAGAATGAAATCAACACAACCGCTTATTTGAAAACGGGTGTGTTTGTTTTGGGTAGTTTCTGTAATGCAAGTATTGTTTATCTGTGTGTAATCAACAGATAATCTGTCTGAACTGTGTCGAGTGTGTTGTCAACATGACATGTGTGATGAGGCAAATCTGAAAAACTAACTTAACGTCTTCAATGGTGTTGTGTGTTTCTTCTCTTCTGTCAGGTGACTACGTGCTTTGTTGGAGCCATGTCAGTCGAAGGAGTAAATAAAGTACTGTGTGTAAGTTTGACAACTCTATCATATTATAAAGATAATTATCATAACACAACTATTTTGTAGTTTCACGAACAATGTGGTGATACAGGCAACTGAGGACGCTTCAGGAAACATTAAAAATATGCCTTTTTGTGTCAGTTTTATCTTCAGACAAATCCACGTAGTTGTGGGGCTAAATATAAATGTGAGTCAAATCCCACCATGGGAGTAGATATGCTGTGATTGTAATGGCGATGACGCTACTATGCCACTGATCGGGTTGAGGAGCACTATCACTTCTGTTTTCTTATGACTGTGACGTCTGTGAATCCCTTACCATGTAATATGGTTTCAGGGAATACATCCAGGTTAACTTTTGTTTAACCGTAAAATCGGAATTATCATTCATACTTAACACATTTAGACACCTCTGTGCCTGTGTGTTTACCACACGTACAACATCATTAAAAACTGCTATATCCTGCGCACATACAAAGCAAAAGCCACAAATATTATGCGTGTTTACTATTAGTGTGTGTTTCGTGTGCTCGTTGATATCTTGGTTGGCGTGAAGCAAGAATATTGAGAGGCTTGTTTGAGCTTTTTGTCTAAAAAAAAAAATATACAAGTGTCATGGATTGCTGGTTTGTTGTAAGGTGTTTCATTCAGTGAGTAGACACAACACAAACACACACCTGCACACTCATCTCCACAAACTTTAAACTGCCATGGCAATACAAAAATCATTGTTGAGACAACCCATTTATGTCCAGATTCTGTCACCTCTGTGGTTCACTAAAATTATAGCCACATTTCATATAGATATCTTTAAAGATTAGTGTTTTCTGTTTCTTATCTCTTCTTTTCCTCATCAGACACAGGTGAAAATTCCAACACAATAAAAATACTGTCTAATTGATGATGATGATGATACTGACACAAAACTGCACTTTATTTTGATGTTTCCTGAAGCGTCCTCAATTGCCTGTATCACCACACTATCGCCATTGTTCGTAAAACTAGAAAATACAAATAGTTTTGTTATTATTTGCCAGCGTTGTCATAGTTACACAGGGTATTTTATTTACCCCTTCGACTGACACAGCTCCAACAAAACACATAGTCATCTGAAGAGCAGAGAAGAAATACACAAAACGTTGAGGCAAATTTGCCTCGTCACTAGGGGATCAACCAGTTTTACCATAACCGCAGTTTTATATAACGTCATGGTATCCTGCCTTTCGCAAGTCCTGTAATTTGTGGGTGTGCTGTGCAGACATGTAATAAAATAAGCAAAGGAAAACAGTTGGAGAGATTTTTGTAGTGAATTAGGACAAGAGACTCAAAAAGATCTGGAACTTTTTCGGGGATCTACAATTCCTGTCCTCCACCTCAGTGGTGTTGAAGCTGTAAATAATAAAGAAAAATCTAATATGTTGGTAAAAGTATTCCAAGAAATCCATAGTTCAAACAATTTAAGTTAAAAAATTTAGAAGGAGAGGGGAAACATCAAACAAATTACAAATTAATTGGGATCATTTTGGCGCTATCAATGTATATTTCACATTAGACAAATTAGAAAGGGCTATTAAACAGGGTAAAGATACCACTCAAGGTAGAGAAGGTATTGTGTAAAATTATGGAACTGATGATAAAATAAGACGATATAAACTTGGACTGAAATATTTGATGATAATAAAAGATAAGATGATACATTCCCAAGTCAACAAAGGGCAAGAAAGACGGTGAAGTGATCCCGTTGATTTGTTGTTTAAGCAGTTACTCGATTGATATTCCATTGTATTTCTTGTTACTATTACATTCAAGCTTACGTTTACATTTACGTTTACGCTTAGGGTAAGAACCATATGTTCCCCCCACCTATGCTTTCCTTCTTCCTGTTCAACTGTGACCTTAAAACACCTGACCAACATCACCTGACCCGTGTTACCTCCTCCAAATATATTGAAATGCAAAGCATCTTTTCAATACCTACAGTATATATCTCACACGTTGATATTGCAATGATTAAAGATTTTTGATATATCATGCAGCCCTACAAGTCACTCATACAAATGTGGCAGAATACATGGGAAAAGCAAAAAAAGGGGAGTTCTTCATTAAGGAAATTATATTAAATAAAAGTTTGCATGCAAAAGGAAGGATTTAGTGGCCATAACTAGGTTGAAGCCTGGACACTGTGGGTTAGCTCTGATTGGAAAACACCCAGATGGCAAATGTGAGTGCTGAGACTCAGAGACAGTAAACATATCCTCATCCAATGCACCAGAAAAAGAAAACTATTCAGAGACCTGGGAACAACTGGAGAAACAGTTTTTACAAAACTAATGGAGTTCCTGCATATTAGTGGACAATATAAACACATTTGAATAATGATCAAAAGGACCACTGATAACAAACAGTAGAGGGATATATACAGTATGTCATTGCAGTGTCTAGTCTGCCAAATCCAATAAGAAGAAAAAGTGGGAGGAAGTTAGCTGAACTGAGCATACATTACAGTCGTTGGGAATTATGGCAAGTAACAGGCACACAGGGTTGAGAGAGTCGTCACACTTTGTAGATTAAGTAATACTGTACCTATTTATGAACATAAAAGTCTAAGTATTTGCCATATTTTAATTCTAGTGAACATTTGTCTGACTCTATATAAATGTCAGACATTGACTATCATTGTTAATTTCTCTTCTTACAGGGGTTCTAATCACTTCACCATGTTGATAAACTCAGAACAGGAGGCCCTGATTGGGCGGGTGTTTGAAACCTATCTGACAGAGCATCATCATGGTGACATTCTTCAACTTATTGCAGATGCTAATCAAGAGACCCACCACCCTGTTGTTGTTAATGCAATGACATTGTTTGAAAGCAATATGGAGGTAAGTCAAAGCAAACAGAAGTAAGCCAGGGTACTTGTGATATGAATATCAGTCCAACTACAGCCGAGAGAAGAGGACTATTTTTACTGTACAGATATATTGCTGTATAGCCCTAGTATAAAATATTAATCATATATAATAAATATTCTCAGTTCAATGCACTGTTCCAGCTATCATGCTTTACACAAGACAGATCTCTTCACTTAACTCTAATCCTTCATTGACTAAGGTTTCTTTAATTGGACTTCATTTGGACAGCTGAATTTTGTTATACACACAGCCCGATCATATTATCATGATAGGATACCACAATTAAATTCTTTCAGTACAAACTTAGATTGAATCAGTGTCCTAGCTAAAAAAGATAGCTGCCTGAAAATAAAGGCGTTTTGCATTCCAGCTTGCTGTTAAAGTAATGAAATTTGAGTGTTTTAATGGGCTGGGACACTGATACAAATTGTTTTACCAGAAAATATTACTCCGATATTCAGAGCCCCCATAAATTGCATTCCTTAGCAATATGTTTTGCATTACCTCACTATAATTTTGCTTCATCTCACAATAGTGTCCCATTTCCATCATGCAACATTGTAATTTCATTATTGATGGAGAACTGTGCAGCAGTCTTTTGGAGAGACTTCTTGATCTAAGAAGTTGTTTAAGTTAACTGTCGCTAGCTATACAACCATGCCTATTGGACAGTAATACTATCTCTCCATACTTTGTGCCCAGTTCAAAGTACAATTCAATTGTTCAATTGAGTTGAGAGTATTGTTTACTGATTTGCTCATGGGAGAGATTTTTTAAAAACACTTATTATTAACCATTAACCATTCATTAATTACATGGTATCTCTAATATGTGTGGCCACAGGTCGGGGACTATTTCAACGCGTATCCCAACGATGTCTTGGATATATTTGATAAAGTGTTACAGAAAACAGCCATGGACTTGTCACAGAATGCATCTCCCAAGCAATACAAAGGACAAAGAACAAAAGAGCAACGAATGAGACGCACTCTTCATGCTCGCATTACAGGTTAGACATCCACCTTGGAAAGATGGTCTGATGTTAGCAGCTGTTGCCCAGAACTTACATTGTGAATGATATTCGGAAATACATTAAATTGTGGCACAGGATGGTTGCATGAGGATATTACTGTATATGGATTATGTGTATGAAGAGATAAAGAGATGTGTATATATATATATATATATATGCATTTAGACTGTTATAAGTATACAGGCAGGTATGTATTATTGCATGAATATGATTACAAGAATTGTATGTGCTAAATACATAAATGGGTGAAAGGAAAGACCCGTGGAAGCACTCGTCTCTACACATCGAACAAAAAAAGTGTTGCCAATAGACTGTATGAATGGCAAACTGTAGTGTAAAGCGCTTTGAGTGGTCATCAAGACTAGAAAAGCTCTATATAAATACAAACCATTTACCATTAAACTCTAAAGAACACAACATATTAGACTAAATGCTACTTCTAATTGACAGGCATTGAGCAATTTTGTCTATTTAGTAAAACATCTTTCCAACTTTGAAATTACAAAAGAATTTCTGAAAGCGCAGATGTCTCCAACTTTTCATCAACACATAATTTGATGATCTTTGTGATCTTTGTTTCCATCTGCCAGTCCTGGCAAGTGTGCTGTGAAATCTTAAAAACCTACATGTCCATATACATGGTCACCACACCTTTGCTACCCAACAGATGCCTATATGCATTTGTCTTGCATCTCTGATGTGTAAAATTTTTATGTGAACGTCCACTATATAAACGCCTATTTATACACCACTGCACACACCAACATACATACAGCAAAAATCTTTTAGAGACGAGGAGGGAGAGAACATCTTACTTGGTCTTGACGACCGATGATAGAGCCTAGCTTAGTTTTTATTAATTGCATATTTTTCAGTTGCTGTTGTTTGTTATAACATCTAATAAATTCTACCTTGACCAAGAGTCAATGTCAAGCTATACCAACAGAGTAATGAATTGACATTTAAAATTAGTGAAAACAAACATACAGTGCCTACACTCCCACTCCCAGTCTTCTAGATTGTGTATCGTGACAATAGGGCACACCTTTCATTCAAAGGATTTATTTCATTAGAGACTGCATAATTTTGTTTGCTGTTGATTTGCCTGTTAAATTAGTTTCTACTTATTTTCTGTTCTTTACTCACCCCCTGACTCTTGTGTGTCTAGGTTTACCAGTTTGTCCAGAACTAACCAGAGAGACCATTCCCAGGTCAAGAGACATAAGGCATTTTTTGTCTGTCACTGGTACTATCATACGTACCAGTGTTGCAAAGGTAACAGTATGTAACTGATCGTCTCATAACTTTTGCAACCAATAACATCAGATGCAAAAAAAAAAATGTTGCATTACATTCAAAATGCCAAAACTCAAAGTGTGTTTTAAATGCTTCTTCATGCAGTTAGCCATAGTTGGTAATATAAAAGTCAGTGTATTCTTTTTTGTAGCCTTCCAGGTCAAGTTGGTTTTGTTTAATTTGCAGTACTTTTTGCCCATATTTTTTTCTTACAGTATTTGCTGATATGTGCCTCAATAAAGAAATTATACGTTTTTAAAAAATGGGAACTACATTTTTTAGTGTACCAGGAGGTTGCCAAACAACAAAGATGACAATAGATACAAGTTATTCATGTTTGGTAAGTGTGGCCTTGTTCTTGTTTTTTTGTTTTGAATCATACTTCTACTTCTTATAGGTTCTGGAATACGAGCGTGATTACATGTGCGACAAGTGTCGTCATGTTTTCTCGATGCAGGCCGATTTTGACCAGTTCTATGCATTTGTCCCACCTGTGACCTGCCCTAATCCTGATCACTGTAATTCATACAAGTTCAGCTGTCTGTCAGGAGGATCTGAGCCTGCAGCCTGTAGAGACTATCAGGAGATCAAGATACAAGAACAAGTAAGGCAATTATGCACATAATCCCCATTTGTCCAATTACAAAGCAAATGTGTCTTTGCTACTATTGTTTTCTTAAGATAGCAAAGTTAATATACCCAGGATGTAAAATCTGGATTTTCCACAAGTAAATCTTGTTTCATCACCAAAGGTGCAGAGGCTATCAGTGGGCAGTATTCCTCGGTCTATGGTGGTGGTTCTTGAGGATGACCTGGTTGACAGTTGTAAATCTGGTAAGAACTGTAACTTGTGACTCTTGGTTCTGAAAGCAGTGTCATTATGTTGACTGTCTGCAATGTGATTTACTTTAGATAAAAGCTTTCGATAAAGGAGCAATTTTGATGGAAATGTCTTTTCTGGTACAACACATGCTGTGAGACCAAGCGTTGTTGTAGAATCAGAGTTCGTATTAAATTCACTGAGAATTTCAATTAAAAAAGAAACCACATTTATTTACACCTGACCGTGTTCAGCATGCTCACGTATTGTGTGCTCCCAGGAGATGACGTGACCGTCTATGGGGTTATGTGCCAGCGCTGGAAGCCCTTTTATGAGGGCACTCGGAGTGATGTGGAGATGGTCCTCAAAGCTAACAATATAGAAGTAAACAACCAGCAGACTGCCGCTGCACTGCTCATGAAGGATGCTCAGCAAGAGTTTGCTGTTTTCTGGGATAATTACAAACATAACCCCATAGCTGGTATGTAAAAAAAAGTACTAATATATTTTCATTTCTCAATTTCTTAATTCTGATTAAAAATTGTATCCTCTCCCTTCTCTGTAGGTAGGAACCAGATCTTGTTGAGCCTGTGCCCACAGGTATTTGGCATGTATGTGATTAAACTGGCAGTGGCCATGGTGTTGGCTGGTGGAGTGCAGAGGATAGATTCTTCTGGGACCAAGATCAGGGGTATTGCTCTTGTTTCTATTGTGGTTGAAATTAAGTGGCTGAAAAGGGGCTGACTTAGAGCTTCACTTATTTACCACAGAGGAGATATAGTTACAGGATCCGCCGTTATGATACACGACTCAGTAGTGTGTATGGCCCCCATGTGCATGTATGATTTTCCAATCTTCTGTTGTCCAATTCTGGTGAGCCTGTGCGAATTGTAGCAGAAATAACAAACAGAATATCAGCACCTCTCAGCATTTGTTTCTTTAATAGTCCCAGTTTATAAGCTGCAGGTTGTGATGCAGAAAACAAAGCTTCTCTGCATTTTCTCCAGTAACACTGCTCCTTTTGCTCACAAAAATGTTCCCAGCCTCACTGAATATTTTCTCACTGGGAACAGAGGAGGGTGGAGGACCAAGGCATTTCCTTGCCAGTGGTGCAAGAAGACTCAGATGGGCTTGGTTCTGTTTCCACCATTCGAGTGGCAGACCAGACTTTCTGTAAATAACCGGCTCCTGGAGGTAGCGAACCAGTTCGTCAGAAAGGTTTGGATTCTCTTCAGATTCATCTCCTCCACGATGTCTGTGAGCCCCAAGGATGCTTGCGTACATTCGGTCAACAAGACCACAGGGTTCCTCTTCCTCCACCCTGATTCGTTTAGGATCCACTCCTTGGTCTCCAAAGGTGGCTTCCTGTTGCTCAGACTGAGGCGCAATGACTTGTTGTTCCTCTCTTAACCATTCTTTTGCCTCCTGCAGTGTGTCTGCCTTTGCAAAGACACGGCCTTTGTATCGGGGATCGAGCAGCTTTGCGAGCACCTACCAATGTACAACAGGAGAGGAGAGAGGAGCGTGAAGAGAATAGAGGAGATGTTGTGGTGAAAACTAAGTTTCACTCGTGGTCCAAAAGTTCAAAAATTCAGTCGAATAAAAAGCAGGAGAAGTCAACTTAAAAGCAGCAGAGTTTTAATGTTGACAAGAAAACCCGAGAGCATTCAGTAGCGAGCCGGAGCTACACCAGAGAAAATTCTGACTATCAGTGGTGTTGCTCCGCTTTATCTATCCTTAAGGGCCACGCCTGTTACTAATCTGACTGGTCTATCATTACATCTATCATTTATGGTTGGACATCGTGATATAATCTTATTGGTTATTGGGGATGGTCTGACATTACGACCCTCCCCCTGGAAAGTCTCCAAGCCCTGGGGTTACTTTGGTACGATGGTCTTGAGTTTACCCGTTAAAAGCCAGAGTTGCTTTGATGGCCTTGGAGCTGGGACTTTCCCTCTGGAGAGCCCCTATCATGCCTTGATAGGTCTGTTTTTCTTACTCTTTACACCATTATATTCTGTTCAAATCATTTACTATTTTTTTAAAAAGATATTTGTCTCTGTTTTGACACCGTTATGTTTTCTTGTTGTCAGATTGTCTCTTGTTTAAAAAAAGATTAGTATTTCTTTATACCAGTTACACATACACATCACACTGCTTGTAACACACTGAGTATATTATTTGATTCGTCATTGCTGTGTTAAACTTGTTGTAATCATCAGTAACTTATGTCTCTTTTTTTAACTTTAACAAAACATGCAGATTGTGCAGATTAAAGGTATATAGTGACATTAATATTGTGACATAGCATAATGACCAAAAATTACACTACAGAGAGCGGTCTGTAGTGTAATATGTCTGAAGCTTGCTAACAATGTCTCCCACTACTCTCTGACTGCTGAGAGCCTTCTTGACCACAAGCTGAAGTGTGTGTGCGCAGCAGCTGAGGTCTGGCATCTCTGCCAGTCGCATGCCTTTGATGATGTTGGCACTGCTTTCTCTGAGCACTAGCACCACTCTTTCAGGGTTGATACCCCACTGCTCCATCACGCTTAGAAACAGTTCACTGATGTAGTCCCCAGTATGGGAGCCAGACATGGCCTTCCCATTCAAGACTACTTGTTTCCTTTCCCAGTCACTGTTAATGAAGTTGCATGTAAGACTCATTAGCGATTCTATTTCCCTAGACCAACAGTCTGTAGTGAAGGAAAGATGGGGGTTAGCATTCTCTGGTGCAATCAGCGCTTTGACCTTCTTGACAACCTGTGTGTACATACTTTTCAGCATCTCTATACGGTAGTATTTCTCGGTTTTAAGACTATACTTTGGTTCTGCTACTGCTATCAACCGCTGAAAGCCCACGTCTGAAACAATCGTAAAGGGTTGATTATCAGTGGCGATCATTTCAATTATTAGCCTGTCAAGTCTTTTGGACCTTGGATTGGCCTTGTCCCATTTTGTCATTACACTGAACAGCTGTGGAATAGAAGGCTTACCTGTTGCAGCTGCCTTTTGTTGCTCCTTCTTCTCATGGGCCAACCTGTACTCATTCAGGTGGTGTGCCTTGAGGTGGTTCCACATATTTGTGGTGTTTGTCTTCTTTCTGATTTCTGCCCCCATGCTCACCAAATGTTTACATACTGTGCATCTGGACTTCCCTGGGCTTTCCTCTTCGGAATAGTCCCACACAGCATTAATTCTCTGTCCAGGCATCTGTAACATTAACATAGAAAACATTTCAGTACAAAAATACAAAATGTTAGGCTGACAGGGAAAATGGGCTTTACATTTTGTTTTATTGCGGTTTTGTTGTGTGCACGTGTGTATGGGATAATGCATAGCCTAATTCTTTGCCCCTCTGTCCCTCTTTCTCTCATAACATGAACAAGCTTGTGTTGCAGTTTACCAAATTAGTTAAATGGGTCATTGGTAATCACTGGGAATGGGAACTGGGAAACTTATAATAAATACCTATTGCAGAGTAATTCTGTTACTGCTCCTAGCCGTATTTTACCACAAAAGAGAATGTGTTTTAATATTTATGAATAAAATGTACACTAATTACATAGAAATGACCAGCGTCTGTCTCACACAACTGCTCTCATGTCTCCTCGGGTCGGTTAGCTTTTTGTTGTTGTGTTAGCATTCAAGCTTAGCATCCTAACGTGTGTGCCCCTTTTTTACTCACCTAATCTGATGTTAGGTTAAGTCCGGAGTCTCTCCTCGTCTTTTTTAAAAGGTCATAAGACAAAGCTGTTACACCGTCTCTCTCCTGCGGGCGTCTCTGTGCACCGCAGTCCGCTGGAGATGCTGGCTCTCTTCGTTCTCTTTCTACGGCGCTCGACAAACGATCTCTGCTCTCTCAGCTCTCTCCCTGTTTCTTCCGTCTTTTAAAATTCAATATCAGCGATGTTTACTCTCTACATAAACTTGGGGGGGTTAACTTAGCAACATATCACTGCGTCCTCTTGATGCACGGTCGTTAATTTAATGTGTCCTTTTGAAAATAAATTGCATATTTGAAGCAGAACGCGGAGCTAGCAACATCACTGGCAGCTACATAGCAGGAGCGCTAAGGTCCTGACCCCAAATCCATCAGTCGAATTACAGAGAGTCAAAACTGTGTAATATAAATGGTCAAATAAATATCTAGTATTTTGATTTAGTATCTGTTTATCTTGTTGTAAATGTAAAGTGAACTGAAAGTGCCACAGCCACACACAGTTGAGAAGACAACACTACGAGGCTGACAATAGCAACTACAGAAAGCTCAAAATACTTCAACCATGAGGGCTATCATTCATTGTCCAAAAATACAAAAAGAGTGGTGCCAATTTCCCCACATTATGAAAAGTTTTTGCCATATGTTGGGTTTTGTAATTGGAAAAACTAGTTGTCTGGGAATTACTATCTGAATTTATTTTCCCTCTCTAGGTGAGTGTCATATGCTGCTGGTTGGTGACCCAGGCACAGGGAAGTCTCAATTCTTGAAGTATGCTGCTAAGATCCTGCCTCGTTCTGTACTCACAGCTGGCATTGGATCAACAAGTGCAGGTAAGGCCGGTTCACTGTCAGCTCTCCGTTTCAAAGCCATTGGTCATCAGGGCACCTTGGAGAAATGTTTTGCTTTCATTCATAAGTCCCGGTTTCAAATTAATATTTTTTACTATTTTATATCATATTGATCCATTTTACCATATTTGACATGCAGGTAAAATAGATACTTTTTCCATGTTTCCTGTATTGACATTATTTCTATATAATGGAACCTGTAAACATAATGGGTCTCATTATCCCATCATTCTTATGCACAACAAAGTTTCTGACTTTCTCCAATGTTTCTTATCTGTGATTTGTTCATAAAAAAACTGAATCTACGCATACTGAAGACAGTTTCTGCAGCGCCTTAAAAAATCTTAAATTTAAATGAACAAAGTTAAGGTGTCAGTTTCTCTTAAATTGACCACACATTTTCTGGAAAGTATTACATTTGCAGACAGTTGATGGGAAAATTGGCAAAAGTGTCCTACTACAAAAATGTCTTGTAAAACTTAAGCACTGAGACAATACCATTTAATCTCTGCTATACGTGGGCATTGCATGACACAGCGCCACACAATTCCCAGTCTTGCAAATCAGTGGTCATCTATGGAACTGCAATGAACCCTGTAATGCCTGACACTAATTATCAATGTCAGTTATAGTGTCTGTATAGCATTCAACAGCGTAGTTTCATAACATAATCAAACAACTGCAAAATCCAAGAAGGAGGCAGTGTAAAGCAGTTAGCAGTGATGTATAATTTAAACTCTACGAGAGGAAGATATGCCTAGCCTGTTTCAGGCAGTGCACAGATGCTAAAGTTAGTTCACAAAGGGCTGCTGGCTAGCCTTTATGGACACTAACGTCACTTTTTGTAAATTCCCTGTGTTTATTCCTCTGCTCGCCGTGGCATGGCATATCAGAACTTTCTTGTGTTCTTTTGACAATGCCATTTCCTAAAGGACTGACGGTTGCAGCGGTTAAAGATGGAGGCGATTGGCACCTGGAGGCAGGAGCTCTGGTCCTGTCAGATGGTGGCTTGTGCTGCATCGATGAATTCAACAGCATCAAGGAACATGACCGCATCAGCATTCATGAAGCTATGGAGCAACAGTCTATAAGTGTGGCCAAAGCTGGGTAGGACAGTCATGCATATCCACACACTCAAGCATTCTATTCTATGCAAATAATGCAGCATCTATTGTTTTTTTGTGAGATTTTTCCGGCAAATGAATTGCATTTTAGATGCCTTGAACTTCACAGGCATGTCAGGCCTGGTAAAAATGTACACATTCTGGAGTAATTGGACATTGTTGTTTCAAAATGGCTCAAATGCGCCCCCTAAAATGCGGCACTACAGTCCGGTTTAACTGATCACGAAATTTGGTTCACACATGTATCACGAAAAAAATAGTCCCTGCGTCCAATTTTTATTTTGGTGGCAATTTTGGCCATTTTAAAGGTGTATTTTTAAAAACTCCTTCTAGAGGTTTTTTTAGTTCAACTTCAAATTCAGTGAGCATCGAGAAGGAGATTAAAATTAATTTTAATCGTCACATTGTGTTGATTTTTGATGATTTGACATCAAAACACGAAGTTGACTATGGGAACCACAAGGAACCCAGCATTCTGAGAGCGTAGTGTTCTGGAGGGGTAGTAAAGTACTGTGAGCTCTTTGAGATATGATGGTGCCTGCCCATGAAAAGCTTTGTATGTAAGGAGGTTCATTTTAAATTCTATTCTAGATTTAACAGGCAGCCAATGTAAAGGTTTTTTTATTTCAGTTTTAACATAAAACATACCAAGACATTACAAAATAGGTAAATGAACTAACCTCAAAACTTAAACCATAAAAAAAGACCGCTCCGTCGCTCGCCTCCCCCTCTCTCTCTATGTGCAATGCGCATACTGATTTAAATAAACAATTTGTTAATAACGGTTGGTAATAATGGGTCTCTATGGGTGATGTGAGCTGAAGGTAGTGGGTGTGTATATTGCGAGTTTAGGGGGCACATCAGCCAAAGCTGTAGTGGGTGTGTATGTGAGTGAATGAGTGAGTGAGACTGCTGCCTGCTGAACAGAGGGTCGCAGGAAGAAGGATCTGAAGTGCCCGTGTTTCGGCTACAAAACCAATTCCGAAACCAGCCCAAATTTGTATCCACCCGCCTGGAAACCCTGGTCGCGTCTTACTTTCAGCAGTGAGTGCCGCTGTGCAAGTGCAACTCCTGTGGCCTGTCCCGTCATGCAGTGCGCCCACTCGCAAAGCAGCCGCTGATGTGTTTTTTTCCATAGTCGAATATTAATTTTCACAATCGAATTTCCGTTTTATTTTAATATTCGAATATATATTCGAATTTAGAATATTCGTCAACAGCCCTAGCGGCTATACATGTCATCAGTGGTCACATTGGGCAGGGGTCCAGAGAAAACTACGGAGTCCGACATCGTTTTTGTATATGCACACATCGATGAAACATTCATTTTAGTGACCTCCGATTGGCGTAAATGGGTGGCATTACCACCGACGTGAATAACAATCTTACTATATCTACGTTTATCCTTAGCCAGCAGTTTCAAATTAGACTCGATGTCGCCCACTCTGGCCCCCGGGATGCATTTAACTATGGCCCCTGGAGTCGCTAACTTCACGTTTCATAAAATGGAGCTGCCTATGACCAGAGTTGGCCTCTCAGCGGGTGTGTCGCTGAGCGGGGAAAATCTGTTAGAAACGTGGAGTGGTCGGTGGTGTACCGTGGGCTTCAGTTTGGGGCTATGCCTCTTTCGAACTGTCACCCAGCCTCCCGGATGCTCGGGGGTTGCCGGGGGACGGCTCGCTGAAGCTACCTTCGGTGGTACCAAGTTGGTACCTTCTATGTTAAGGACTTGACCTTAACATAGAAGGTCAAGTCCTAGAGACTTGTTATATATGTTGATCAAATGACATGTCCTGGTCAAAGCTGGGGGCCAAACTAACACCATCCAAGGTGACTATCTGGTCAGAGAGTGATTCTCTGAGATGTTTAGGGCCAATTACAACAACCTCAGTTTTGTCTGAATTTAGAAGTAAGAAGTTTTGGGTCATCCTGGCCTTGATGTTCTTGAGACATCCCTGAAGTTGAACTAAGTAATTAGATTCATCAGGCTTCATAGAAATGTACAGATGGGTGTCGTCTGCGTAACAATGAAAGTGTATGTGGTGCTTTCTGATGATGTTGCCTAAGGGGAGCATATATATATAAGGTGAAGAGTATCAGTCCAGACAGAACCTTGTGGAACTCTATGACTAACTTGCATGTGCATGGAGGGGTCATTGTTGATGTTAACAATTTGAAATCTATCTGATAAATATGATTTAAACCAGCCTAGTGCAGTTCCTCCATGTTGTTCCAGTCTCTGTAACAGAATCTTATGATCTATGGTGTCAAATGTTGCACTAAGGTCCAACAAGACGAGTATAGAGACAAGTCCATCATCTGATGCCATGAAAAGGTCATTAGTGACTTTTAATAGTGCTGTTTCTGTGCTGTGATGGATTCTAAATCCTGACTGAAATTTTTCCAGCAAACCGTTACTATCTAAGTAATCACACAGCTGGTTAGCAACAGCTTTTTCTAGGATTTTGGGAATGAAGGGCAGGTTTGATATGGGTCTTTAATTAGCTAAAACCTCTGAATCAGGAGTGGGCTTTTTAAGCAGAAGTTTAATAACAGCCATCTTAAAAGCTTTTGGGACGTAGCATCCTTGAAAAGTCTCGAATGGACAAGTTGTTGGTTTGGATGATGAAACTAATAATAATGTTTCAAGTAAAAATCTGGTGCTTCAGGTTGGTCTATGGTTTCAGGACTAGACAATGTATCTGTGCTATTCATTGGGAAGAGGTGGTGGATTTTATCCCTGATGGTTATAATTTTATTTGTGAAAAAGTTCATGAAATTATTGCTTCTCAGGGTTAATGGGATAGATGGGTCAGTAGAGGTGTGACTTTCTGTCAGCCTGGCTACAGTGCTGGAGAGGAACCCGGAGTCGTTCTTATTTTCTTCTATTACTAATAAATAATAAGAGGTTCTGTCATTTCTAAGTGCTTTCTTGTAATTTATCAGGCCATCCTTCCAGGCTAGGTGAAAGTCATATTGATTGGTTGAACGCCACTTCCTCTCTAGCTTCTGTGATGTCTATTTTAAAACACGTGTTTGAGAATTATTACAATTGAGCTAATCTCCTCTGATTAACCTTCCTCTTTTTTTAGCGGGGCGACAGCATCAAGGGTTGTTTTTAATGAGGCTACTCTACTATTAACAAAGTTATCAACTAGTGTGGGAGTAAAGTTTAGGTAATTGCAGAAGGAAGCAGTTCTTTAAATTTTTTCACATTTTTATCTGATAAACACCGTCTATAATAGAATTTCTGTCCAGAATCAGTGTAGTCAATAATTCTAAATTCAAATGTAATTAAAAAAACGTCAGACAGAAGAATGTTCTGTTGAAATAGTATTACATTTTCAATGTCTATGYCATATGTCAGAACAAGAGCAAGAGTGTGATTTAAACAATGAGTGGGTTTATTCACATGTTGAGTGAAACCAGTCAAGTCTATTATTGAGTTGAATGCTGAATTAAGGCTGTCGCTGGCAACATCTACACAACATCTATACTATAATGATTTTTATCTGTCCTAAGAAGTAGCTCTGATAGAAATTCAGAGAATTCAGATAAAAATTCAGAGTAAGGGGCAGGTGGACGATATATAATAACTAGATGAATTGGTTTATGTGATATCAGGCTTGGATGGATGAGGCTGATTATAAGATTTTCAAAGGAAATATAACTATCTTTCAGTCAAGGGTTGATAGATAAATCAGGTTTAGAGATTGCTGCAACCCTTACACCTCTGCCTGTGCTTCAAGGCCACTTTCGTGCCCACAGTCATGTTTTACATTGTGGTCTCCTGCCGTTAGCCTGTTTATCAGATGTGAAATGTGGTCAGGATTTGATGACAATGAAACTTGCGAGTTTTAGTCTGGGGGTGTGACCATTCCGTGGTGGCAAATTTTGATATTTTGACATCTTCAAGTAGCTGTAACTGTTATTGCTCCAATATACTATAATAGTCACACCGCCCCTTCATTGTGACAGGAAGTACCATGTGTTATACTTTGACATGCTATGCCTTGCCTTTTCATTTGATCCACCTCAAATTGGTCAGGGAAGCAGTGAGATTATGTTGACACCATGTTGTGACACTTAAGCATTGAAGTTGAACAGCGATGGCGTGACCTATGATAGCATGCCAATAACCAGGAAGTGGTTGTAACGTCACTGCAGATGCTCCACTCTGCCTTACACTTGATATGTATGATGAGATTCTCTGTTAACATAACCCAAGGAAAATATTTGGCAGCTGAGGCAAAAGAGTTCAACAGCGCCACCTACTGTAAAAGGAAGTAGTCCCTCTATTTCAAATGTCACAGAAATTTTCTGAGCCGTCTCCAGACCTCTTAGCTGAGTTGTGAGACATGATCAGCAAGCATTCTCCAGCGCCACCTGATGGACACAGGAACATGCTCTAACATCCTTACTTTTAAATACCATGCAAGTGCCTCTTAGTAGGTGCATCGGCTAGGATGCAGCAGCCTCAGCATGGATACGTCACTTCTCCACTGTTGCCAGGCGAGGGCCCACTCGTACTTGCTTCCCCCCTTTTAGTAACCTATGAAATTCAAAATCTGCCAAACTAAATCTAAGTAATTCAACAATACAAACCAGGTCTATGTTGACAGTTTTGTAGACTGACACCTCGGCTCCTTTCATGTTGCAGTACTTGAGCATGCAGAGGGAGAGTGGGGGCTCGGTTGCATGTATGTAGTATGTTAGAGAGGAGACTTCTTTTCTCCTCAGGAGAGATGTAAACAAAAGCACAGCCTCATCTTGATATAAACATGATTAGCTAATCCTATACCCTTTTGAAAATATATTAATGTAATCTACAAAGTCGGCATACTGCCCAGCCCCACATTCTACATACAGCCAGTGTTCTATACAGCCAAGCTGTTTGTCTGGACAGACAACACAGTCTTGAGGCAAGAAACAACAATTTTCTTCACCCAGTCCTCCACAACTATATTGTAGAGATAAACTGATAATCCTGAAAAACTGATAATCCTGTATTTGCCGAATCGGTCTTTTACCTGGACTGTTTTCTACAGAAACATGTAGATGTTTGCAATCATGTACTCTCAGTATTCTTGTTGGTGAGCAAGGTAAAGATGTTTAAATATTTTTCCTCTACATTCTCTCCTCTTTCTTCAAGTATGGTTTGTAAGCTGAACACTCGCTGCACCATCCTGGCAGCTACCAACCCTAAAGGCCAGTACAATCCCAACGAGCCACTGTCTGTGAATGTAGCTCTGGCCAGTCCTCTGCTGAGTCGTTTTGACCTGGTCCTTGTTCTGCTGGACACCAGAAATGCAGAGTGGGACCACATCATCTCCTCTTTTATTCTGGAGGACAGAGGTACAACTAGTGCTTTTAAAAATGAAATGTAAACAAAAACAATCAATATCAAAAATGAACTTTACAGCATCATTTCAGGTAGAAGTTGTTGTATCTAATTAGGGTTGCAAAATTCTGGGAATTTTCAAAGTTGTAAACTTTCTATGGGAATTAACAGGAATATATGGGAATTAACGGGAATAAATCTGAAATTTACAAAATTGGAGGTTGGCCCTCAACAGGGAACTTAAATATAGTTTAGGAAAATATTTTGTAGCATAATCTTGGCTAAAACAACCAGATTTACTTCATGTACACTCCTCAATCACATGCACACAGCACACTGCTTACTGCAGGGCTATTGAGGCCACACCCCCTACATGCACTGTGCATTCCTCCATCACATGCACATCTGATTTCAAGACTATTGAAGCCACACATTTGAGCCTGAGGACTATCTGAAGTCAAGTAAGTTTTGATAATATTATGGGGTTAATATATTTGATCTATAATAGTATTGATGTTAAACTTGGAAATATTAATTAAAAATAGGTGCTAAATGTAAGCCAAATCTTTCATTCCATTGACCATTTAAGAGGCTAGCTTATTATGGTGGCGGTAGCTACCTCAAATGTGATGCTGTTTCTTCAGACTCCTGCAAGATGGTTTTCTGTAACCATACAAGAATTCATACATCAATTGTCAAATATTTTGAAGACCATTCCAGTTGTTTAGCCAACTATATTTCTGTTCATGCCATTGCATTAGTGTTTTTACAAGCTTTTTTTGTTATTTTATTCTACAGAAAAATGCCACGTTCGCCGTCTGATGTGTGGAAGCATTTCACACAAGCCAATGTTGACGGAAAGTCTTTGTATATGTGTAAATATTGTGCCAAAACTTATGTGAAGAATGCTACAAAAATGCAGCAGCATATTACAAAGTGCCAAAAATTTCCACAAGGCTCAAAACATTCAGCAGACAAGAGTTCCACTCCAGGGGAAAATGAATCTGCTGTATCAGAGTCAGATCTCATCAGCTCCTGGTCCCTCTGGTATCAGAGGATTCTTTGATTCGATGGATGAACGTAGCCAGAGAATTTCAGATGAGTGTTTTGCTCGTGCAGTCTATGCAACTGGCTCACCCCTGATGCTGCCATCCAGTTTGTACTGGAAGAGATTTTTGAATGTTCTCCGGCCAGCATACACCACCCCAACCAGGCATGCGCTATCCACTCATTTGCTGGATGAGGAGTTGCATGGATGTCTGCTTATGACAGAACAAAAATATTTACATTTATATTTGGATATGATCCAATTTGTTTAAATTACCCCCAATTTACAGTTAATTCCCATAAATTCCCATACATTCCCATAATTCTCATGGAAAGTTTCCAATTTGGAATATTTCCAAAATTGCCCACCTTAACTTACCATGGAAAGTTTCTGGAAATTTACTGGAAATTTTCCGCTCCTTTGCAACCCTTCTCTCAAAAGATCTGCTCTAGATCTATCCAGCGCCCCTATGGACTTCACACCATTGATTTTACCAATTCACATTTTAAATATTGCTGTATATGTATCCTGCCATTTCTCTCATTAAAACAGTGACAGCAGATCTCTCATCACACATCCTCATATTTTTGCTTCAAGTGAACCAATTACCCTGCAACCCCGTCCTTTAACATTACAAGCCATGACCAAGCTGCTATCTATTTTCAGGTTGCTCACTCCTTTCCATTGCGTTTGATTGCGTTGACCTTTTTGGTCCCATGGAGCTCACATAATGGTCCTCTTATTGAAGACACCGCTGACAACCGTCACTTTGAAGGGAAGACGGGGTCGCCTGCTGCGCGCTGGTTCAATGCCAGCCAAAAGCACAAAAGGGATGTGTGCAAGTGTGCGCCGTGACATGACGGCTAATAAGTTTTCTTGTGTGTTTACACATGGTTGTGAACAGCAGGGGGTGCAAATGATTTTGGATGACAAAACAGTGGTGCTGGCAATCAGGGAGACAAAGCTATATAGAAAGAAAAACCCTTTCTGAGCTTGGATTGATGCCTTTGTCTTGTCTGTGGTACACTAACTCTGTTTATGAGTGTGTTGTTGGCGTTGTGTATCTGTGAAAGCTTATGTGTGTGTCGGAAGTCCTGCTCTGTAATAAGGTTTGGGCTTCTTCTAGTCAGGTCAGTAAAGATTAATGCGCTAGAAGGAAATTACTATTGACCTCTTTCCTTCTGTTGTTCATTCACTACTGGTGGTTTTTCTACATAAGTTACCAGACAGTATGTGCATCATGCATCTCTGTGTGTCTAAAGGCACACTACACACACTTTGAGAACACACACACAAACCACACACTGATACAATGCCTCCACATCAAGTTGTATAGGTGCAGGGAGAAAATAGATTGATAAAGATCTGGCGAAGGGGAAGAGCATGTCATTGGCAAAGGTCAAGGGCTATGTGTGTACAAACACACACACAACACAACAATCAGTTGTGTACTACTACATGCAGACATAGTAAGTAGCGGGGTAATAGGTATAGCCATTGGCCTTACTCTCAAGGTTGGACAGCTGTGGAGTTATTTTAAAATGTAGGTGATAAAACATGGACTCAAGGACACACAGACACACACATAGGAATGCCTTTCATATCAGCAACTTAACCTGAGCAGAGTGAATGTGATAGTTGCAGATAAAAAACGGATTTGATGAAGCACAGTCACAGAGTGTGGGAGCTAGCTGTGTAGTTGTGAATTTGTTTGGAATGTGTGGTATTCCTGCATAGCTTTGTCTGTCAAAGGAATTTGTTTAGATGACAATCTCACCTCTCTGCACACACAGTCATACACTTGTGTGGTATACCTATACTTTTCCTTGACAAAGTATACTGTATCCCATTTTATTAATCGAGGAGCTATAAGAATGACAATGATTAATAAGAGCAATATCTTCAGATATATGTCAATGTGTGACCGATACAGATTGTATGTTCAGCGATTTTACTCAAGGAAGGTGTGCCAACCTGTTTTTGTTCTCTCATGTGCATGCTGGTGCTTTAATGGTGGCAAAAAATCATAGGCTACAAATACAAGTGCTGTTTCCCATCGTTCACTGCATTTCAACAAAGTATTATTTGCTTACAGGGTTATCCTCCTCCCCCCTCCCTAAGCAAACAAGACATACCGATAGAGTCATGTTAGTAAATGTGACAGATTCCTGATCACTACCAGACCATGGAGCCAAAAGTCGTTATCAGTGCAAGATGACAGCACCTGTATCCGGGATAATATGTCGAACAGACAAGCGCATGAATAGAAACACTCACAAGCGACAAAGTCCACTTGTGTAGGCTACAACGTAGGTTCTGTGTTGTTATATTAAACAGTATTTAATGTATAAAGTATAAAATCTTGCTCCACTTGCAAGGTGCTGAAAATCAGGGCACAAGTAGGGATATCATCAACACCATCTATGAATAATTAATTTATATTCAATCATATCTTCTCATGGTAATCACTGCATGTACATTGCACTGAATAAAATTTTCACGTTTGCTTGTTTCACATTTTCAATACTCCTCACTGTACCTAAAATTGAAAATATCTTCTCAGATGATGTAGAGANTGTATCTTAAATACCCATGAACACAGATTAATTGAAATTTGCAGAATGCTTTTTCAGGGAAACACTGATAAAATATACTGAATAGGATAATAATGAATAATTCATATTGTTTTTGCTAAGGTACCATCTAAAAACTTTTAGTGATATTTCAAAGCATTTAATATCATGGAATGTCAGTGGTGTGGTTTTCTCTCAGGACTGGCTGCTGAGTCTTCCAGTCTGTGGCCCATGGATAAAATTAAGGCTTACTTCTGTGCGATTAAACGCCTGCAGCCGCAGGTGTCTGACGAAGCCAACAGCATCCTGACACGCTATTACCAGCTGCAGAGACAAAGTGATGGCCGCAATGCTGCTCGCACCACCATCCGTATGCTGGAGAGTCTAAGCCGACTAGCTGAAGGTGAGCATGGAAATTTTACTTAATCTCTTTGATTATCAGTCATTGAATATAGGACTAAATGGTGAATATCCCTTGTACATTTGAAGGCCTTCTGTGAAATTTAAGTTACCAAATACCAGTGGATGTAAGTAGGTGTTGGCAGCTGCCATAAGATGTTGGGGACATAACCTCAGTTGTTGGCCTTAGCGTCATCAAGTGTTTTGGCTTGTAATCAACGATACAGGCCGAACTTGAAAGTATGTTTAGAGTGTATTTTTAGAATTTACTGTTTGTTTTTTTCAAAGACTTAATTTTGATAGGACAGGGTGCTGGCTGTGTGTGAGGGGAGGACAAGCAGCAAAGAATGGGCGTCTATGCCAATCTCTTTGCCTTTTTAAACTAAACGCTTCTTAGTGGCATCAAGTGGCATCTTAGCGGCATCAGGTGTGTGATTTAATTAATTTGTGATGGTGGTGGTGCAGGGTTTGTCCATGGATCCCCAGATCTTTGAGCAACCTGATGGTGGATATTGCAAGGAAACCCCTGCAGCGAACCTCCACAGGGCAGACTATTGCTTTCCAACCATGTTGTGCTGCCTCAAATGCCATGTCTGCATACCGCAATCACTTGCTCAACAGCATCCTCCCAGGGTACTGTCAATTCTACGAAGTAGATGACGCAAAGAGTGTTGGTCCAGAGTATCAGGTCTGGTCTCAGGGTGGTACTGACAATATGTGATGGGACTGTAAGCCGCCGGACCACACCCACCACCATCTCCCAGTGTCAATGTTTTGGGTGGCAAGGTATTAGTAGCAGTTCTCTCTGTTTTCAATTGTTGCTGCAAGGCATTTGAGTACCTGGTTGTGTCTCCCGACCTTGGAAGAGACTTATTGTAGAACCAGTGAGGATGCTCCTGAGGGGAGCTGGAGTTGAGCATATTTGGCAGGATGGATTTTTGTTCAGCCACTGTTGTAGGCTTTTAGGTGATGGAAGGACATCATAGGTTGCTCTAAGCAGGAAGCTAATCCTCCTGATGCCGGATTTTCAGGGCTACCAAATTTTGCAGCTTTGTAGGAGTTGCCTTGTTCCTCAGGGGTCTACTCTGACCTAGGCCCAAACCTCCTCTTCCCTTCTGAACATCGACCACAATGTCAGCATTCTGGAGTGCTGCTTTTGCCTGTTGAGTTGCTTCTTTTGGTGTCCTGTAGTCAGTGATGGTCCAGCAGCCTGTACAGATGTGTCTCTGGACTCTGAGAGGGTCATCTCTAGTCTTGTCTTGGTGCATTTACAGTAAACGCCTCTACAAGACTTCAGATGCCTGATGATGCCTTGTCCATACATGCTGATGTTGCTCAGACATCTTGGGACTCCTAACTGTTATGGAAATTTTCTGGAAGCTGGTGAAAGAAGAACTCAGGCAGCAACTGATGTCTTATGCAGATGATTTTAATGTAGACTTGATGCATCAAGGAGACCAGAGGGTGGAACAATATACAAATGCTAACAGAGTTACATGAGCAATTGTCATCCCCAAGTCTGAAGATCTCTAACTAACCTAAGTCAACTAGTTTTTTTTTTTTTTAATGTAATAGCTAAAACCAGCATATGTTTATGAATAACAAAAATGTTTTTAACATTGCAGCACATGCCAGGCTTATGTACAGAGAGATAGTGACCATAGAGGATGCTGTCATGGCTGTCTCTGTCATGGAGTGCTCAATGCAGGTAAGGGGAAAACAAAACAAGCTCCTTTACTAAACAAATAATGATCATCTATAGATTTTGCATGATTGTTTAATATTTGGACTAATGTCCTTAAACTTTAAAATGTCACCGATGTGTTTTATCCATAATGGAACAATTTTCGTTTTCTGCGAGGCTGCTTTTCATCTCATATTTTAACAAGAATAAAGCCCTTCACGTTTTGAACTGGTCAAAGTGTCTTAACCAGTCAGTTGTTACTGAAATTAATACTGGCAAGAGCCTGACCAATATGATTTTGGGGGGCTGATGTTTAGATTGGGGAATAAAAGAATTTTGGATACCAATATATCTGCCAATGTGTAGCCCCACTCTTCTGTGCAACAAGTGGAATTGTTTTCTTTGTAGCAAGGGAGTGCTATTTATGTATACATGTCTCTCTTAAGTATTTCAAATTATCAAACAAACGTACAGGTAGTAGTCCCAATATTAACATTTGGGGTGGTGTTGTGAAAAGAATGGCTTTTGACGTTCCCCTGTCCCATTACTTTTGTTACAGTTATCGTGAAATAAATCATATTATAAGTTAACGTTACAACAACTTAACTGACATAGTAACACCTTAATAATAATAATACTGTGGAAACCTCTTATAGTGATTACGCTTCTGTGTGATAGTCCCAGAACTTGCGAGACGGGTAATAGCAGTTTCTAACATGCACACACACCAAGACACACACCGACTCAGCTAACGTCTCTGATGTGCTACAGTTAAAATGTTGCCACAATATCAACACTGATCACCACATAATGATCAATACTTTTCTTAAATTAATAAAATCTGAACTCATAGCTGCGCATTCATTCGTCATTCAGTCTGTCTCTTGCACTGACACAAATTCACATCAACACATGCACTCATACACACAAACAGTGTCATCGGGTTAAAAACAACAGAATTAGTCAACTAAAATATTGTGTGGAGAGGTGGAGAAGATGGTGGGGTGCACTCGATTTAGCTCGATTTGGCTGGCAGTGCACAGCACGAATGATAGAGACACAGAAAGGAGCAGTAAATTACTGACAGAGCTGGTAAAAACTGTAAGAAATAACTTTTCAATTCACAGATGTATCAAAAGACCCAAAAAAATAACACTGTAAGAGGACTACTTGAATACTTTAACCGAATTATTTAAACAGCGTTTGTGAAGGAACTATTCTGTCCAAAGTTTTTTGATCCATATTAATGGATCACTATCTCTGGTTTCCTCTGTAATAATGTGTGGCAGTAGACCATGCCAAGGGGCTCTCACCACTGCAGCCAGAGACAAACCACTCCATCTTCAACATTTCACCTGGGCTTTATTTCATTAATACAAACAAAACTCACAAACTCTAACTTAAAGACGACTAGCTTTTCTGCTCCTTTTCAGTGATCAGTGTCCTGAGTGTCTGTGCATGTCCACTTGAGGCAGCTCTGCTACTGCCTTTTATACCAGAGGATCAAGCAGTGAAGGTGCTCTCCCAGCTAGCCCACATAATAATAATCCTCTAGATGTCAAGAAGTGCTTGTAATTACTCAGCACAATTATGCTTGTTTGCACCTTGCTCTGTGTGTGTCTGTGTGTTGGTATCATTGCCTGCGTGGATGGCTGTTCGCAGAGCGCTTGCATTTTCAAATTAAAGACTGGTGTTTTGTGTACTCACACACACATTCAAACTATGTGCAGATTCATAACTCAGTGGTAAGGTGTTTGTCTTACTCTTGCGCACAGGGTTTCGGGTTCAATTTATTGTGGTCTTAACAAGCATTAAAAGCATTTTAACTGAATAATGTTCTTGTATTTCAGTGTTAGGACTAGAAGAATTCTGTAGTCCTCATTGGCAGTCAGTAACAGCTCTCCTCTCTTAGGGCGGTGCTTTGCTTGGGGATGTAAATGCACTACTGACCTCATTCCCTGTGGACCCTGGTCAGCAGTATGAAGCTCAGTGTCAGGTACTACTGGGAGGGCTGAACCTGCCACTGCTCCTTCAGAAGGAGATGGATAGACTGGCCAGGTGAGTAACTGACTGCCTGTTCTATTTGTAGTGTCAGAGTTTGAACTGAGTACCCCCCGAAATCCTTCACATAGAATGTAAATAAATAAACCTGCTCATAGACATACATGAATATTTACTGAACACTGTGATTGAGCACAAACTTAAAAGGTAATCATACTATTTAATCATAGTGATACAGAAAACTGCTTATATTTATATTTTTTGGTCCAACTTCAAGTCATTAAAGGTGTGAATAAAATGATCTACTTCTAATCTGCTACTATTCAACAAACGATCTGTATAAACTGTGAATCAGTCAGAACAGCTCAATAGTGTCAGAAAGAGAATTGTCTCAGGGTTCCTTCATACACCTCATAAGTTCATGTGTATTCTTTATTCATTAGGCTAAAAAGCAACTCCTCAGATGGCTCCCAGTTTGATTCACAGACTGCTCATTACCAACTTCACCCCAGGGACACAAACACCCACAACAAAACACACGTCCATGACATGACCAGTGTCTGCAAGGGGGATGCCACGGTGGAGAGTGGCTTGGACTGGTTCCACTCCATCACTTCATCAGTGTCACTAGAGGATCTGACCCCACCATCAATGACATCAACTCAAGAAAACCTGAGCAGAATTCCAAACTCCATTGGAGCAAAAACAACTGCTGCAATTAAACAACCAAATTGTCAAACTGAGGAGGACTTTCGAAAAAACATAGGCTCAACATTGACCCGTGAAGGAAGTTCCTCATCAGAAGAAGAAAACAAAAAAAATGAGAAAAATGAATACGTCAAAGAAAAAAGCTCCATTTGCAAAGAGATACATCAGCCTGAAAGACAGAAAGATGACCAACATTCAAAGTCATTGGGGTGTGTGTTCCAAAAGGTCACTAAGAATCTGAGAGACAGAAGACTCAGAGAGCTAGAGTCAAATGATCTGCAGTGTAACAAAGTGGAAGGAGGGGGACATGGAGACAGTGTGGTGTTCTCAGCTGGTACAGGTAAAAATGTGACTCATGTTTTAAAAGCTACTTCAGATTCCCACAGAAGCAGCATAATGTCATCAGGTAAAACCCTCCTTTCTAATTACCTAATGCACAATAGTCAGTCCTGTGTCAAACAAAGGAGATTACTGAAAGAAGATAAAACAAATCAGACTGAGGACATCTTCACTGCCCAAAGGGAAAAGATTTCAGCTGAAGTTGACACAACTAAAGACTCAAATGTCAGTGCAGAGTTTCAAACGGAATATAACTTGGGCAACAGAGATCTCCGTGACTACACAGGCAGCAGAATAGGTAAACAATTAGTAATGCACGATGAGCCAGCCAGACCACCTACAGACACAGAGAAGAATGAAAGAAAGAAAAGACAGAACCAGTTCCAAAATCTTGTGCAAGGTAGGTGCAGTAGAAAAAAGGTGAGCTCTGTCAGTGAAGTGGCTGAGTGTGGGTCTGGGGATAGTACTTGTTTCACATCAGTTGAGCTGGATCGGAATATTTTTTCTTTGGGAAAGGAAAAATCTGCTCAAGGCAAAAGTGTTGGTAGAATAAAGAAGAGTAATGATTCAGAAAATCTGTGTCAGCAGCAAAGAACCAGAGACAACAACAGTGATAAGACTACAGAAGATGATTTTACTGGCGGCCCCCATTTAAATGCAACCACTCAAATCAATGATTCAGCACCATATAATCCAGGCCACACAAAACCCACTATAGCCCCTTCAACTCTGGCTAAACTCTCAAGATTCTCTTTTACCTGCAAAACTAAACCCAAGATCACTGCTCACATGCAAGTGGAAATAAATCCTCCTACTGAAGTGGGAAATGTTTTGTTTAAAAGAAAGCAAGGGACAGAGTCACCAACTAGAACAAATTGCAAAGCAAAGCAGACAGAGCCTGCACATGCTGTAAAGAGAGTGATGAATGATGATCTTGAGAATGAAAGCACCGTCAATGTGAAGAAGAGAAGGTGTTTTAAGATGGGCCCTCGACCAAGTATTCATGATTCTAAGGGTCCATTCTCTAGACTGTCCCTGTTTGACTCGGTTGAGTGCAGCAATGATGTCCTTGACACTGACTGGGACCAAGAGTTTTCAAATGGAGGCAAACTTTGAAATCATAGGCCCATGTCAAAATGTGTTGGGATAATAGTATTAATGTACTTGATGTCACACTTGAGGCACATCATTTGAATTCATTGTCTGATGTATTATTTAGTTACCTCCTTCACCCCAAAAATAAACTTCAATTGTTCCAGAAGTTGAGGTGTTCATCCTGCTGTTGTATTTAATCTCCAAGAATATTCGTGATGTTTTGACCATTGAGCACTCAGTAGTCATTAGCCTGCTATATTACAAACCTGACAAGTGTAATGACTGTATATTGCATAGACAAATTCTGTCCTTAAACAAATGCTCATGTAGTACTCAAGGCACACCCAGCAGCTCTACATGAAATGAGCTCCAATGTGACAGCTGGCAAAAACCCAGCTGGGACCATATCAGATGCAAGAATGTTTAAGAGTTTTTTATTATTATGTTTCTAGAATGGTTGAGAAATAAGTCATAAATTATTTATTTTGTCAGTTAAAAGTTTTTGGTTTCTGCAGAAGCATCATTTCACTGCAGTTGGATGTCCTGGTCCAGCAAAATTACTACCTAAGCTGGTAGATGATTATTAATCCCAACTTGGACTTTGAGACCCATCACTGCATCCATCCATGTTGCCTAGCAGCCATTACAACCTTTCCTTGACACTGACATCCACTATCAGTTTGAGGGTTATTTTTGTCTCCTTATACAGTGACAGACTACATGGAGATTGGAAGCTGTAAGAAAAACAGTAATTAAAGAGGCCCAGTGGTTTTTGTATTGATGTCCAATTACCCAAAAGCCAATCTTTTTCTTTTCTTACTTTAACCCCATTTTGAAAATCAATTTGAGTACTTAAGAACTACTGTACATATGTAACCCATGACTTTAAATATTTTCATGCCTTCGTGCCTAGTTTTCTGTTGTCAGTTTCAACTCATCATAAACACAGACATTGACCTCACCTCTGAATGTTGTCTGTTCCTCAGCAGCCTTATTATGCAGGAAACAAAATGATTCACTTTATAATTCTCACCATTTTGCCTTGTTTTTCTATAGATTTGTCTTTAGATCTGTTTTTTAGGCAACTTCGCTTCACAGTGTGATACCTTTTATTTAGATCAGTCAAATCTACTCTGGCCCTTAGTATTCAATTTTATATACAGTATTTGGTGTAAGCTGATCCTATTGCATGCTATGTCCTATCATCCATGTCAAGTGCAATTCCTCTTTTTGAACAACTTCTGTTGCACAGCTGTATACATCTGTTTTGTTTTGATTACATAAAGTCTGAAATATTTGGAGCTGCACCAAATTGCACACACTTATAAATATAACTCCCCTAAACATGTCATTTTTTTTCAAATCAAGATCCATGAAATATTCTCTGAGTAATAACTACAATGTTGCAAAACTAACTTGCAATGTTAAAAAAGGTGGATCTCCCCCCTGATCTAAATCCACAGCAAGATGTAATAGATTCTTTCTTGACCCATACTGCATCTCTCCACAAAGTGTAATGGAAATCTGTCCAGTAGTTTTGTGCAATCTTGCTAAATAACAGACAGACAAGCACAGAGGAAAACAAAACCTCCTTGGTAGAGATAGTTAGGATGCTCTGGTGGAGGTATGCAAAATTCAAACTTAAAAAGAGTTAGCTCACAGTTTAGTTTATATAGATTTGATTACCCTTTTCACACTCATATCTTACATTTTTTTTTACATTGCTGGTGGACATTGCAGACATCGTCTAGGTAACATGTGACATTAAGTTTGATCAATAAAGAGATGCTTTACCTCATTACTGGATCTATTAGCTGCACTGCCCAATTGTGGCCATCATTTTGGTGAGGGCTGATTGTGCTAAGGATAAAAGTAGAAACTTATGTCTGGATTGTTAGATCAATCCCCACTGCTAAAGTATAAATTTCATCACAATCTTTCCCTCTTTCCAGATGTGCCAGGCACATCCTGTCACCAAGATACCAAATGCACACAGTTTGCATGGTACGCCAGGGCGAATGGAAATTTGGCCCTATATGTTTATAGACTAGTGATTGCAAATGTTTCCGCCACAGTGTTGCCTTACTCAGTCAGTGCATGCATTCAGTGTGTGTCAATGTGCAGCCACTTTTGTGATTAAGTGAAACATTTCCCATCTAAGAGGATTCTTCAGTTTAGTTTTCTTGGTGTTGTCAGTAAATAACAAGAGTTGTTTCTTGTTCCCATGTGTTATTCCATGGCCACAACCTATTTCCCTACATGTCACCACAGGGACTCTGTAACATAGATAAATTAAGTTTTACCTCTGATGTTTTGTCACAAAGTGTTGTTTTAGACCATAACTCTGGTAAAGCCAGTAATCCAGTGTCTCTGTGTTACTTTCAGAACACCAAACACCAAAGTGCATACTGCCACTTACTGTTGTTGTTCACTCGGTTTACCTGAAAATCTCTCAAATTTTTACTCTGCTTCCCCTTTATAAGAGTTAAATGCGTCACTGATAATGTTCAGATGTCAGATTTCACTCACAGCACAAAATGTTATCAGGTAAAAAATTATTTCATTTTACAGTAAAACAAGAGCTTGAATGTCATGTCAATGAATGCTGCTCTTATAATGACTAGTTATAATGAAAACAGTAACAGTGTAAAGATGTTATTGATTATTAATGATAGCAACAATTCATATAATAATAAATTATTCACAATTATTGTTTTTTAATAGTAATAATAATAATAGTTGTATAACAGTTCTGGAGTCAGAGATACCTGCAATGAGAGAGAGAAAGAGAGAGGGTCTATGGGAGGAAAAAGATACATAATTAGTGATGCTTTTAGAGTAAATAAATAAATGAATGCAGGGGGGCAGAGAGACAAAGAAGGGTTGATGCACTTATTGTAAGTCCCTTTGGATAAAGCATCAGCTAAATTAATGTAATGTAATGTAGAAGGGGAGAAGTGCTCAGTGGATGATGGGAGTTCCCCCAGCAGTCTAGACCTATATCAGCATAACTAAGGGATGGTTCAGGACTCACCTGATCCAGAACTAACTATAGGCTTTATCAAAAAGGAAGTTTTTAACCTTTAATGCAGAGATGGTGTCTGCTTCCAGAACCCAGAGTGGGAGCTGGTTCCACAGGAGAGGAGCCTGGTAGCTGAAGGTCATCACTATTGGAACAGATAGTGCTCGTAATATGGTGGCGGCAGCAAGGAGTCTACAATTCGAGTTATGCCTTTTGTAGCGCACATAATACAGTGGACGATCACAGTGTCTCTCCATGACAGCAGGGTAGTTTCAAACTGATGACAAACTACTAATTAATTTAATTTACAGAGGAAAACAACACATAGACATGTAGCTCACATGAGTTAGTGACCATAACAACAATACAGCAACTTCACAAGTTCGAGCTTCTACATGCACATCTTCAAAAGTGAGTACAAAACAATCGATGTATGAGAAACCATACTCACACTTCATTTAGCCTTGCTTAATATTAGTGGCATAGACGCCCTGTACACAATTTAAAAATAAATGACTGTGCAAACAAATTTCCCCTGGGACAATTAAGGCTAAAAATTAAGGTCACCAAAATATATTTTAACATTTACAAAATATGAAGAGGTCATTTATACATCTAAGAAATTAGTTCATGGATTGCAGCTGCACGTGTGTTGTGTGCAAGAAAACAAAAAGCTATTTTATTAATTCCTCCAGTCAACACCCAAGCTATATGCTACTGTCACACATTTGCACATTCAAATGTCATTAATAGATTTGTTAAGTACACAAAGAACAAAGACAAAACAGCACTTGTTAATCAGGCAGGCGGTGGGATGTGTCTGTCTCTGTCTCTTATTGCTACAATTTTGTGCAGTCCAACCTTCTGTGACCTTAAGCATCAACTAGAGAGCCAACAGTCTGTGTTTGTGCGTGTGTGCGTCTGTGAGTGAGATAGAGAGAGAGTGGGAGGGAGGGAGGGAGAGATCTTGGTCCCCCTGTTAACTCATGTTATACTATGTAATATTGGGTAATACATGTAGTGAGCTGTATAAACCTGCCTTACATCAATGCCACCTCTAGGTGGTGCTGTGTACTTGTCAATTGCAGTAAGACGAGCAGAATATTAAAAAATGAGTTTCAGTCTGACTTCAGCAGTGGTGCATGGTGAATGTGATGTGATGATATGCCTTCAAGGACATCGCATCTATTCATATTAAAATTAAATAGAAAACATCAGAAGAAAGAACTCTTAGGAGCAGTCTAAAATATTAAAGAAAAATTATGCAAAAATAACGGAACAGGATTACATTATAAGATCTACACAATACCACATGCATTATATGACATTAAAATTACACTTTCAAAATAAACTGTATTGTTATACACATAATGCTTCAGCCCTGTATAAAAGTCATTTTCTCTTCCACAAGAGGAGATGGGACTTTTCTTGAAACTGTTTGTTGCAGTTTTGCTCATTTCAGGTCAGTGAATGAATGAAGAAAGAACAACAGCATTAACATTAACAAGAAGACTTCGTGATGAAAGTGTGACATCCACTGAGGTGACAGTTTTCCCCCCTAATTTTCAGTCTAATTTGCTGGTGAATCAGTTCAACATATATATTAATTTAATCCTGAAATTTTAAATTTTACTGAAGCAAATGCACATTGATCAACTAAACATGGTTGAATACGAAGCGGAATAGGTTGATAACGGCGATGGCTTCGTGTGTAAGATGATGGTGGGGTAAAGGTGTTGAGGAGCAGCTGATGAGAACCATTGACGCATCATATTTGAAATGTAATCTGCACTTTACTTGTAAGACACGCAGAGTGCATGGTTCACAAGTATAACGACAGGAAATGGAAACAGCCCTATACTCGTGTAAAGTAAGGTACCTGAAAAGTGAATTTCGTTCCTTCGCTGATTAGACATATGAAGTTCATATATTTCTCATAACAGATATACTTTCATCTCTCCACTGTTTTTTTGATTTGTACACTGTTGCACGACGCTTTGGTCTCTCTCTCGCTCTCTCTCTCTCTCTCTCTCTCTCACACAAGCACACGCACGCACACGCACGAACGCACACACAAACAGGGTCTTGACGTAGTGATCAGGTGACTGGAACTTTTCTGACTCTTATAAGGGAAGTTTGACAAGTTGGACTCAGTCTCGCAGCTGCTGGTCCCAGAACTGGATCTGAACACCGTCAGGCTGATTCGGTTCGTACAATTGGCGGACAAAGTTCTGGTAGGCCCTCTGTTGTCTCTCATCAACTCTGGTAGGTTTCTAAGTATTTGTGTTGGACATTGTGAGAAGATGCTTCTATCTGTGTCCCAGTGAAAAGAGTCGGAAAAGCTGCGGTGCGCTTCACACTTCATGCAGTGCAACTTCACTTTTCAGTTTCTCATTGTTCAGAGACAGGGGCACTCATCCAGAAGAGTGCGCTGAATGATAGAGAAATACGTTCTGAAAATATTAGATCTTATTTAATAAGTTTTTATTCTTTTTTTTTTTTTTGGGATGAAATCCCGAAACATATTTGTTTTCCATCCAAATCTGTTGTACAGCATTTGTGCTGTAACGGGACTTTTAATAAAGATTCTGGTTTACATTCAAAGACATGTTTGTCTATAATACCTGCTAATCAGCCCCATGACACCAGGGAAGGTTCAAACTGCAGTGTTTAGTTATGTGGAAATATTGTATCCACATCCAAAACCCTCAAGTGGTTCATTGTGCTGAGCTCTATTGTTCTGCTTTGTTCAGTTCCACCAAACAGACTAGCTCAAGTATAAAATGGCGGGATGTTCTCTGTCTAATAATATATTTTCAACTTTTCAATTCATGTTTCACTCTTCAGATCCACAAACGGCAGGCAAACAAATAATTTGTATATTTTCCAGGTCACCGGATTCAGTGTATATAGTTTATCACAAGATAAGTGAGAGCACATGCACTTAGTTTGGCACCATGTGGGTCAGACTGGAGGTTCCTACTTATCCGCATTAATGTCCCTGCTCTCTGATCTAACTGTCTTCATGTGTGTCTATTGCAGCCTTTTGTTCTTTGCTTCATAAATTCTGCTCAAACTTTGTAAGAGCTCTTCAAAGCTTTTTTCATCTCTAGCCCTTATCAGATCCCTGATTTCAAATTGAACTGTTGAACTGTGATGTTAGACTGAAACATAGATTAAATCTTTTGTTATTAAATTTTTTTCCAATCTGTGGTTAGTCATTCAATTCAAAGTGCGCTCAGCTGGACCCACTGGTAACAGTTTAAAGATGACCAAGAAAGTCCCCAAATACTCTGAAACCACCCTTAAGGACCTCTCTTTTGATACAGATTATAACGGATATATTTATTTTACAGGTTTTTGTACATTGTGTTTTGTTAGTTCATAGAATAATTGGGCAGTATTTTTTTTGGGTTCTGCAGCTTAAAAACCTGTGTTAACACTGCTTCTTTGACAGGCAGTCATAGTTGATATAGACCAAGAGGTTTTTAGGGGACACATGTACACATGAGATTAGTGCTGTAAAGGAAACCAGTTCATAGTGGCAGCGAGATGAAAGCGGCCATTCTGTGGACTGCTTTGGACTTTAACTGCGTCATACTGGTGAATGGGAACTAAGCTGATTCACTTAAGTCAATGGGCGAATTTTTCCGCAGGAAATGGTCTGTGTCTGCAGGATGTCTCTGTCAGGACTGAGGAAAGAAGCTCAACACTGACCTTACTGAATATATTTAGCCGTAGTGTCTTTTCTCCCACAAACACTTATCAGATTGGGTACACAATCACACTGGATCATGGCTTTCCAGCAACCTTATTCTGAGCAGCTTGGCTAAAACATTAGCATTCAGTAGATTTTCTGGTGTTCTCTGAGACCTGCCCAGCAGGTCCGTTTGCTGAAGATCTCTGCATCTGCTAGGCACTGAGTTTAAAACCTTGTGTGTTTGCAGCATACACTTAAGGCTCTGCACAGTAAGAATAGCAGCAGAGGGTTGAAGACTGATAGAAGTTGTTCATATTAAAAAGATTGGCCTAAAAGTTATGCAAGACAACGGTTTGCAAGTATTCTCACTTGAAATAGTTTGAATGGTTGAGAAAGAGGTTTAGCAGTGCAGAAGAAAAGGACTGTAAACCTCTCATGTGACAACACTGACCAGAATGACGACTGCTTAAGATTGAGAAGCCTATAGGTTTTATATACATTTTAAGATGTTAAATGTTGCAGGAATTTGAATATACCAATTAATTTTTCCTCCATGTAACTTTTTTTTCACTGGAAAACTGCCTTGAATAAATTATTTTGCTGATGTGAGGATTTCGATGGGATTGAAGGGTGTTTGTATGTGCTCCATCACTTCAGCGTTTCAAAGTTTCATTTGATATTTTCACATCATTGCATTGATTTAACAGGAAGTGTTGCATAAGCTGAAAAATATCCTCTCTGTCCATGCACTCAGTAATTTGATTAGCTGGAAATTTCTACTTTTGTTTACTCCAATAACAATGCTGTTTAATCACATAATGCTACCAAAATGATCAAATGTTAAGACTGCTGAAGATGTCAATCTTCTGTGAAGGCCCAAAGCAATGTTAGGAGCATGATTGATACTGTGTGTATATTATTGCTCAATACTTAAGTAGTGCCCTCTTTTTCTCACCAGCTAACGCCCATTAAAAATGGGTGACTGGAGTGCTCTGGGTCGTCTGCTGGACAAGGTCCAGGCCTACTCTACTGCTGGGGGAAAAGTGTGGTTATCGGTCCTCTTCATCTTCAGGATCCTGGTCCTTGGTACTGCAGTGGAATCAGCCTGGGGAGATGAACAGTCTGCCTTCAGATGTAACACTCTGCAGCCTGGTTGTGACAATGTCTGCTACGACAAATCCTTCCCCATCTCCCACGTGCGCCTCTGGGTCCTACAGATCATCTTTGTGTCAACGCCCACACTCCTCTACCTGGCTCATGTCTTCTATCTGAACAGGAAGGAACAGAAACTCAATAGGAAGGAGGAGGAGCTTAAAGCAGTGCAAAATGATGGAGGCGATGTTGACATACCACTGAAGAAAATTGAGTTGAAAAAGCTCAAGTATGGCATTGAAGAACATGGCAAAGTGAAGATGAAGGGTGCTCTGCTCAGAACCTATATAGTCAGTATTTTCTTCAAATCAACATTCGAGGTGGGTTTCCTGCTTATCCAGTGGTACATGTATGGTTTCAGCCTCTCTGCAGTCTACACCTGTGAGAGGTCCCCATGCCCACAGAAGGTGGAGTGTTTCCTTTCCCGACCCACAGAGAAGACTGTCTTCATCATTTTCATGCTGGTGGTATCCATGGTTTCCCTGCTGCTTAACATCATTGAACTTTTTTATGTGTTTTATAAGAGGATCAAAGATCGTGTGAAGGGCAGACAGCCGCCCACTCTCTACCCAAGTGGAGGCACCCTGAGCCCCACCCCTAAAGACCTGTCCACCACCAAGTATGCCTACTATAACGGCTGTTCTTCCCCAACTGCCCCACTCTCCCCCATGTCCCCCCCAGGCTACAAGTTGGCCACAGGGGAGAGGGGAACCGGCTCATGTCGTAATTATAATAAGCAGGCCAATGAGCAGAACTGGGCCAATTACTCCACAGAGCAGAACCGGCTTGGCCAGAATGGTGGAGGAAGCACTATTTCAAATTCCCATGCACAAGCCTTTGACTTCCCCGATGATACCCACGAGCATAAGAAACTGTCGTCATCAGCAGGACATGAGCTGCAGCCGCTAGCATTGATGGACGCCAGGCCCTGTAGCCGGGCCAGCAGCAGGATGAGCAGCCGAGCCAGGCCAGATGACCTGGACGTGTAAGCCCTCGTTCTTCCTCCTCCCACCTCCAGCCAGATAATCAGGAAACACTCCAATCACATAGGTTCATACAAGAGGTGGGATTAACCTTAACCACTGTCGTTAGCATAGAGAGATTCTTAGTCAATCAAAGACACATTAAAATATAATATTATTTAACACTCTCAGAGTTAATAGTTTTTAAGAAACTTTTACCAAAACAAGTGGAGCTAACCCAGCTGTAAGAGAACAGAACTGCTTCAACAATGGTGCAGTCCAACTTAGGCACTCCATTGAACCAGCTACTGATCACTTCAACACACACCCAGTTTGCCCAATATTATGGTTGGGCGATAAAACAATATCAAAAATTATCGCGAAATAACTTTCCTTGAAAGAAATTTAAGACATGTTGATATAACGTCAATAGAAATCATCCCATTCATGTTTTGACGAACAACACAAACAGCCAGTGGTAAGGAGCATAGCGCCATGCCGAACCAATCATGTGGGTGGAATAGAGTTACAACCACCACATCAAGTTAGGTTAGGCAGTTAGGTAGCACACATGCTAATGTTTGAGCTCCTGCAGAGAGGTGGAGTACTCTGCATCGTTACAGTGACTGAACATAATCAATTTTTCAGCTACGTTCATAGTTTTAGTGGGTTTCCACCACTGAATAATTATAACAACGCTGCTTCAGGATCAGGACAGACGCTCATTAAAGGCCTGATGTTACACACACGTATACTCCCGCAGACAGAAGTTCCTCCCACAGATTATGACGTGAGGCATTTTTTTAACTTGCAAAAGAACCAACGCCCAGTTTATCCAAGAACATAAATATGAATTCAGCAGGTTTTTAAAAAGATCAGTTCTATGTGTGAGTGATATGAAAACATCAAAGGAGCTTGTCACTTGTTGACCAGTGGAGAAATGTGCCTCAGTGCAGTGGCGCTGATTTAAGTTAAGATAAGATAAGATAAGATAAACTGGAAATTCAGTTGTTACAGCAGCAGGCTGTACATTATATATACCTTTTCACTGTAGTTGTTTGTATGAAATGTTATAAGTAAAGTGCAGTGGCACAGGATGATTGTACAAGCAAGTAAAAATCTGTTTTGTGCATTAACAAACATTTGTAGAAAAACATTGTACATAAACACAAATGTGCAAAAAAATTATTTTCTGGTCATTTGATTTATATTGCGATATAATCGATATGGACATATATTTTTTTTCCATATCACCCAGCTCTACAAAGTATACATCCGAAACTCCTAATTCAGCCAAATAATCCAAACCATGTAATTTGTCCATTCTGACCACAGGCTTCAACCAGTTTAGTATAACAATAAAACTGAATTGTTTGTATTGCTTTCCAAAATAACTCATACAAAAGTTATTTTGTCTAATCACCCTGTGGTGAAGTAACTAAAACTACCTAGTTGAGTTTTTAGGATGTATTTTATGGTTGCAAACAAATGCTGAGTTTTGTCAATCTGCTAAATGATGTCACCTTAGAGAGGGCAGTCAGTTACTCGCACATCACAGCAGGTCTCTTCTGGGTAACATTTAAACATAGGTCAGGTAAGGTCAGTCCCTTGCTTATATATAAACCTGTGTGATCAAGTGCCTCTACTGATATTGTTTGATGGTCTCAGCCACACTTGCAGTGAGTTGCTCTTACGGTTTGTTTCTGTAATAAAGAGAAGTGTATATGTAAATCAACATTATTAATATTTTTGTTTGAACTTAGATCCTAATTGTCTTAACCCAGTTCTCAATTTAAATCACATTAGTCTCTGAATTTACAAGGATGGGACTTGTTGTGTTGAAAAATGTGTTTAGCATTTGGCTCATCCTTTGCATGTAAGTCAGGGTTTTAAGGATAATGATTTATATCAGTTGTAGTGAATATTTATTTCTTGCCATCTATAGGACACGTACTACTAGAAAGAATTGACTACTATCCAGTTTCTCATACTGACAGAAAACATCAACATCAACTCCCCAACAACTGTATATTTATTGACAGTAAAAAAAGATGTTTTTTTTTATTAGTAACTTGGACTGTTGTTTCCTGATAAACTTTGAATTTATGTGGTCTTATGTCTTCATTTTTTTGTTTTATATGTTTTTTGCGAGTGTGAGAGAGGCAGGGCTAAGGGTTCAGTCTTCTGTTGGAAGTAAACTCATCTGCTTGTTTGTGGGTTCCGTTAAGAAGACCTTATTAGTGTCATTAATCCATCATGTGTGTTCTCTTTTTTCATCAGTTATGGGTGTTGGAGAAAGACAATAGAATGATTATCTGTGTTTTCCATTTTTTTAATGAATAATTTCTTCATTCTGTAGGTAATGTTTTGATTTCAGACTGTTGTTACCCTTGCTGCTTGAGAAATAGATATTTAGTACTGTACATCAAGCTAATTTTGAGTTTTTAGAAGATAGATCTGGACTAATATTTAGTCACCTATATCAAAACATATGCCAATGTAGCTTCACAACTACACAACAGTAGTTTAAATCTCAATTTGGGCTTCCTTTCTCTTTACTGTCATTTTTAAATTGTCAATTGTGCATCACTTTGTCGGTACTTACATATGTCATGGATCTTTCAGCTACAATGGCATTGCACTGAGATGTAATATGATGCACACAAAGTGTTAAGAGTTTTCTGATACACACGCTACTAATTTATTTTATAACACAAAATCACTACAGTGCATAATATCAGACATCTGACACCAGTGGTTTCATTGATTCTGATAGAACAGGAGCAGTAGTCATTTGTTGCAGTTATTCAGACAATGCTAATCCATGGGGATCCACTGTTGTACAGTGTAAGTGCATGATCCATTAAAACCCATTACTTGTACCGGAGAAGAGCAATTTTAACCAATAAATATTTTCTTTCTTAATTACTGATTGCTTGGCTTCATTTCAAGTCATTCATTATCATCACTGTGGTTTGAGTGAACTTCCAGTCAGTGTTAATTTACCTCATTTTGATCATCTCATCTGACTTAAAGTTCCAGTGTGTAAGATTTAGGTGAAAGGGATCTATTGGCAAAAATTTGAATATTCCTCATGATGTTTTCACAAGTTTGTTTCATCTAAATTGTATGAATTGTAGTTTTCATTACCACAGGAAAGGCCCTTTAAATTTAAATACTTTATATTTACATTGAGGCGACACTATCTACGGAGGCCGCCAGGTTTTTTACATTAGTCCAGACTGGACAAACTAAACACCTTTATAGTTTTTATGAGAACTGAAGCTACCACAGGTTTTTTTTTCATGTTTGGAAGAGGAGGGTGAGGTGAGGGGTGTTTAGCTGCAACATGCAATTTCAAAACTAGATATCACAAAATTCTACACACTGTACCTTTAATATTTTTTTAGGAGTTAGAGTTAGAAAACAAGGCACTGCTGACCTGTTAGTAGCTGATGGTAATCTTTCTGTAATTTATGAACACGGTGAGATGTATGAAACAAATTAATTACTTCTCTCTTAACTCTGTTTGAATGGAGCTGCACACAGTCTTCTACTGCTGTGCATACACTTCATTTTATGGGCTTAACTTGAAACAAGCAGCAATAATTTGAATTCAGCAGGATCCAACTACATTTTAAACTCTCTTAAAAGATAACCTCTTTGTTTTGCTCTAAATTTCATTATATAGAAAAGGTCATTAGCGTATCCATTTTGTTGGTTGAATTAACACTACAGTAAAAACAGACAACCCTTTTTGACATCACATGACATCAGATAAGAAAATATCTATAACCCATCATTTTTGTGTCCCTTTTCAGATTATACTGTGATCTAGTTTACGATAAAATACTTTTCAAAGATAGAAGTTTCACTTTAACTGCCTTTTGATTCAGTGTCATTCATTTGCTTTATCACAGCACATTAGTAAATGGTAAACACCCCAAATTTATATTGTGCTTTTCTGGTCTTATTGACCACTCGAAACTCAGATTCACATAGACATTCATATGCTGCATGTTTTTTTTTAACACACAACATTTATACACTGCTGGCACAGCCATCAGTTCTCCTTCTCCTCATCACTGTCTCTTTATTGAACTTTTTGAAATGATCAAATTTGGTGTACTATGTATATTCAATTCAAATATGAAATATTATCTGCATTTAACTACTGAGGCAAATATACTGATGTATACTCTGATTTATAGACAGTCACGTGCTAAATCTTTACGTTGCACTTTGATACATAGGCATTTTACATAATCTTTTAACTTTATGATGAGAGTTTTGCTGACTTAACTATTATAACATTTATCGTGAATGGCATCTTGTGCTTGAAATAGAGGAAAACTTTGTCCAGCTAATACTGGCAAGGCCTTCTGAACACCACATAAAGTCCTGATCCAGATTAAGGAGGTTGATAGGACTCCTGAGGTATTCAGGCCTAAAGTGTACTGTAGCTTTGATAAAGGCTTTCGAGAGACAGTTAAATTTCATAATATGAACGGACACAGCTCTTTTTCACGTCTCCAAGTTTCCTATTTAATCTTTACACAGCACTAAATTAAAACACATGTTTGCAGAGCTAAGCTGCAGCTTAAGACCACATGTGGCTCAGAGTTAGAAAAGGAAGGGGGGGCATCAAACTTTAATTAGGGACTTTCTTAGGAAGCTGCTGTATGCTGGCCAGTGCAAGAGGTGTGAAAAGACCCCTTTATTTCTTTTTGAACAAAATGTTGCCATTGAATCCATAGTTATCTGGTAAGTACAGACAGAAAAGAGTGGTGGGTTCCAGTATCTTAGATTTTGACAAGAATTCCTACTTCCTGCCTGCACTGAAACATTAAAACCTGCTAAAACCTGTCTATGTATATATATATATATATATATATCATTATTATTGTTATTATTATTATTATCATGGTTATTAGGGTTAGGGGCTTAGGAGGTTAGCCTAACCCTAACCCCCTTACCCCTAACCCTACATATATATAACTTTAGGAAGCTTTAGGAGGACATATCACCTAGAGGAAGAATTATGAATTATTATATATATTTATCTGCTATATGTGTCTTCCGTAAGCTAGGGTCCTCCACCTCGGATCTTGAGGGTCCTGTGCAGTATCTTAGCTGCCTAAGAGTGCGGTTAAAGAGTGAATTTGAGGCTCATAGTTTTCCCCGTTGCCATCTTGCCAGTGTCATGCTAATGGGGCTCCCTTACATGACTGAACTGTCTGAAGGAATTAACACTTGCATCAAAACATTCCACACCTTATTATTTATGCTGGTTCACCCTAAACACAGCACCCTGGTGCTAAATGACACCATGTGTGACAGCTGTGGAAAACATTATATTGGTGAATCAGCAAGGACCATTAGCCAGGTTCAACCTCGTCTACTTCAGGTTACCACTATTCCCAAGGCAAATGACAGACTAACTGTAATTATATGAAACTAATTGTGACAGAATAGTGTACTCATGTCAAGTCTGTCCCTTTCTGGTCCGTTGATAACTTTTATTACTGAAATCATTAGCCAATCATGTGGGCACATATAGGCACTCTATAAAGACTGGTGGTTGTCTTCTGAGCTTTCCCCTGATACTGAAGGCACAATCTGTTTCCTGTCCAACAGACCTCCAGAATTGTTAGAGGTAGGAAAGCGGTGTCTGCATTATTTGCGCTCTAATTTCTTCTCTTTTGTGCTGTGATTGTGTGCTTAAGATCTTGTAGATCTTGATAGCATGGATTCCCCTAGGCGGAACTGACCCTCTTGCAGCCACTGTTAATTTTTATATTAATTGTGTAGTTACTTTTGTTTTAGTTTCTAATTTGTAGATTAGGTTTCTTAATATGAATTATTGCCTTGGGAAGTGTTTCTTTGGTTTCTGCCATTTTTGCCTACATAGAGCCTGAAATAGGCTGGTGTCTTTGTGTGTCGGTGTCCCCTTTACATGTGCTGTCTTCTGCACATCCCTGTCCTGATCCTTAATGATTGCATGTGTGTGTGGATGTGTCTGAACGACATGCAATCAGGGTGACTCTGGGGTACCTCTTCTCCCTCGTTAACTCACCTTTCCACAGGTAAGCCTCACCTCCCCCTGCCTACAGTATATACTGTATGTGTAAGCAAGCCATTAAGGACTCAGTGGCTCTTTTAGTAAAAAATATTTTTTGGCATGGAACGTGGTTAAGTCATATATGAATAAAAATGTAAAACAAGTAGTGAGGCTGTACAAGTTTCCAAGAGCTTTTTCATGAGCTAGATACTCTGAATACATGTTATAGTAAGTGGGACAATTTTTAGTTTTTAAATGACCTTTTTACTGCAGCTAGTTTGTTGCTTTCAGACATCCAGAGCTGTCACTGTGTTGTGTGACTTATAACCAAATACTGTTGAATGAATGGGGACTGTTTAACTGACTGTTGACCTGCAGTCAGGTGGCTGACATCCACTTACTGAAAATTGCTTTTTTACATGTCTGACAGACAAATAACCAACAAAGTCATTACATGTACTATTTTAGTACATTGCAAATACAATTATAGCTTTGAGTTCAGTTGTAAAAAAGCACCAATCAGTATCAAGAATACTTTATTGGATTGGAAATCAGATTCCTTTACAGGTGCTTCAGCCAAGAATGGAAATATATATGGAGAAAATATAAACAAGAGATTTACAATAAAAAATATATAAAATATAGATAAGAGCAAAATAATACTGTAAAAATAGGCACATTATAATACAATTTAAAGAAGCTGAATAAAAAATGAAATACTGTATGCAGTACAACAGATTAATTACATCAGAAAATATTTTTTTATTGGCCAACAAAATGAAGGAACTGCTGCCTCTCAACACAACAAACTCCGATTTATTATTGACAAGATGGCGCCGGTGAGGTCGGCTGCCGTCGTACCTGCTGCCGTCGTACCTGCTTCCGACGTTTTTAGTATTATTTGTAATTTAATAATTACTCCTGCACTAGGTCGTAACACATACGACAGACAGACGCTACTTAAATTAGGAACACAGTACTCTAACTGTGCTCCTATCAACTTAAACCCGGACCCGACCTGGCCCGCCGACATTCTACGGGTCACCCACAACAACAACAACAATGGTCGTGCAGGCCACAGGCTATGGAGGAGGCCCTGAGGGAAACGGGCGGGCGTTAGGAACAGACTGAGACGCAGAGCACACCACCCACCTCTGCCCAGCATCCTTCTCGCCAATGTCCAGTCACTAGAAAACAAGCTAGACGACCTCAGGGCCAGAATTAAGTTCCAGAGAGACATACGGGACTGTAACGTCAACTGCCTTACCAAGACATGGCTGACCCCCTAGACCCCGGACCACGCCGTTCAACCAGCAGAGTTCTTCACAGTTCACCGCAGGGACAGGACCAGTGAGTCTGGTAAATCAAGGGGAGGTGGTGTCGGTCTGATGGTGAACAATAACTGGTGTGACAACAGGAACGTACAGTCTATCAGACACGCCTGTTCCCCTCACCTGGAGCTCCTGACCATCCAGTGCCGTCCTTTTTACCTGCTCCGTGAGTTTACTTTGGTCATCATCAGCGCCATTTACATCCCTCCTCAGACGGATTGGGACATGTTTTGGTTCAGCTCGGGTGGTGACATCAACGAGTTTACGGAAGCGTTCGTGGGATTTATTGGGAAAATGGTGGAAGACACAACACCAATATCCACCTTCAGAACCTTTCCCAACCAGAAGCCGTAGGTGAATAAAACCATCCGCGACTCGCTGAGGGCCCGCACCGCCGGTCTCGCCACTGGAAATATGTTGCCATACAGGGCAGCCAACTATGCTGTCCGGGGGATGGTGAAGGAGGCCAAACGCCGCTACGCCGTGAGACTGGAGCTGGATATTGGAGGGGAACAACACCAGGGTGCTGTGGCAGCACCA